TAACTTTCTCTTTTATCAGTGCTTTTACGGCAATTCTAACTCTATTATTCATTACTTTTAATATTGAAGATTTTTGGTCTCGCAAGGGGTTAAAAAACCCCCAAACTGAATCAGTTTTCTCATGAAAACATGAGTATGTTCGCAAAATAATTATTTATTCGGTCATTATTGTTCTGGTGGTTCCTTTCTTTCTGGGTCGTCTGATAAGTTTTTGTCAGAGTGCTACCTCCGATTCGCCCACTGGTCTGGCTAAGGCCTTTAGTAATGTGCTCAGTGCTTCACCGGCTCTGAAAGCGATAATAAATGAGTTAACGGGAGGAAATTTCAGTTTAGATTTTCTTTTCTGGTTTATTCTGGTCTGATTTGCCCGGGGAGTAATCATTGGACGAATTAAGGAATTTGGTGATTTTTGAACCAAAGTAAATGGGGTTAAAAAGCGAGTTTCGAATTTCAAGCATTACTATTATTACCAAGAAAGTTGAGCCATTGCTAATCATACCCCGATTAATTTAGGGGATTATAGTTATCTCGAAAATAGTCCTAATTTTCTCAGCAAGGATTATCTGGAAAGTAATTTAGATATCAATGATTTCGCCCAAAAAAACCAACAAACTGTTAAATATATTGAGTTTTGTGAGGATAAAGTAAAGGAGTCTTCCAAAATAAACTTTCTTAATTATTGTTTATTTAATGAATTTAATTCGTGGAAAGATTGTCTACGAACTAGAAGAGTGATTAGGGCGATTCGGAAGCAGTAATATTTCTCGTTCATCCCTTATTTTTCCTACCAAAGTCTCCAAAACGTCTTGGAGGGTGATAATTCCTAATAACTTTTTTTTTTCTTGAACAATTGCCAAACGGCAATTGTTAACTCGTAATTTAGTTAAGACTTTATCCAACTTGTCATGGGGGGAAAAGCGGATAACTCTTTTATCGATATAATCGTGCCATTGAGCTTCCTTGTTTTTCATTAGTCTTCAATAGAAAACTTCCATATTAAATACTCCTATCACTTCATTTTTTTGGTTAAGCACCGGATAGCGGGTAAAAAAATGTTGGGAATGAATGGTTTGGATTTCTGGATAGGTCATGCTATGTTTGAAAACAATAACTTTTTTTCAGGAGGTAGTTATGGAAATGACTTTTCGCTCATCAAAATTAAAAGCCAGTTGAACAAGTTTAGCCTCATTTTTTTCTAAAATACTGTCGGTGGTTAAATTGTTAACAAAACGAATAATATCTTGCTCAGAATTAACAAATATTCTTTTTCTTGGTCGAACTATTTTTCTCAAAAAGTAATAAGGAATTCGAATTAGGGAGTAGGTAATATCGATAAAAAAGTTATTAAAAATCTTTTTTTGACTACCTGGCCGATTGGCTAAATAGCGAGCAAATATTTCCGTAATGAGAGCAATCAAAAGACTCAATAAAATTATAATTATTCATCTATATCCTTCCCATCCTTCTTTTTCTAGAATTTGCCGACCTAAACTGTTCATAAAGATTTCCGAAATAAAGATATTGAGGAAGACTTGGCAAAAACAAATTATCGCAAAAAGCAGATTGCTATTTTTTAAAATAAAAGTTAATTTTTTAATTCGTCTCTTATCCTTTCTTTTTTTTACTAAATCTACCTTGAACAGGCTGGTATCTGAATAGAGGGCTGAAAGGAAATTTAAAAAGAAAGAAAAGCCAAGCAGTAAAAAAAAGGCTGCAATAATGGAAAGAGGTAAAAATTGGTTAAACATTTTTGGTAGTAGTAAATTTTTGGAGTATTTTTTCCAACTTATTCATGGTTTCTAATTCTTTGTCAAAAAGGAAAACAAGATTAGGAATATAGGCAAATTTTTTACTTTTGGCCATTTCCCTTTTTATCAAATGGGAATATTTTTTGTTTATTAAATTAATCACTTCTTCTTGTTTTTCTTCACGAGCAAAGGATAAATAAATTTTTATATTTTCTCCCCGCGTGCTTAATTCACAATAACTTAAAGAGAAGGAAGGTAAATTATATTCCTGAACTATTTTATGAAGAATGTGACTTATCTCTCGCTCACAGAAACTCCGTTTTCTTTGATGGATAAAATTATTTTTCTTGAATAACATTTCTTTTTATTAATTGAAAGGCTACTATCTTATCTCCTTCTTGAAAATTATCAAATCCTTTCAAGACAATTCCGCATTCTTGACCGGCACTAATTTCGTTTTTTTCTACCTTATTACTTTCTAAACTTTTGATTTCTCCGGTAAAAACTTTTTTTTCTTCTTTTCCTTGGAGAACATAAATCCGTTTATTACGATTAATTTTACCGCTGACTACTTGACAGCCAGCAATGTTGCCTTTGGAAAAGTAAAAGACTTTCTTTACGGTTGCGGTTCCCACTATTTCCTCTACTTCTTCCACTTCTTGTTGGCTACTGATAATTTCATCTAATTTATCACTAATCTCATATATAATTTTACTGCCAAAAAAAGGAATTTTATCCTCCTTCCAAATTTTTATTTGTTTTTGGGAGGGTTGGTAGCCAAAGATTAGCACGGTGCTGTTGGTAATTTTGGCTAGATCGAGTGCAAAACTATTTAAATTTCCTACGGTGGTGTAGATGATGGAAAAGTTGAAATTAGGGGCAGTTTTTTTTCTTATCAGTTCAGTGAGGGCCTCAAGACTGTTTTGACTATCGGCCGTCAAAACCAAGTTAACATTTTTTTTCTCACTGGAAGGGGGGGGGAGAGTTGATTTCTTCTTTTTTTCCCAATAGTTGGCTAGTTCATTCTCTATCTCGGCAATGGCTTCTTCATTATCTACCACTAAAAATCGGTCTCCTAGTTCAGCCGAAATGTTTAAACCAATGACTTGAACTATATCGCTCGGGTAGACGGTCGTGATTTTCTGACCGTGAAGTCCAAATATCATTTTGGCTTTCCCAAATTTCCCATTGAGGAAAATGATATCCTTTTCTTTTAACTTGCCATCCTGGACTAACAACTCATTAATTTGGGAACCAGTTTGGGGGTGTAGATAACTATCAATTATTACTCCGTGGGCTGGACGGTGGAGACTGGCTTTAAAGTCAGCAAAAAGCAGAATATTTTCCATGAGATGGTGGACACTTTCTTTTTCCTTAGCATTGCCCGAAACCGCTATTATTTCTCCACCCCATTCGAGGGGAGTTAATCCTTTTTCTTGTAATTGGGTTCGAATTCGATTTAAGTTGGTTTCATTATCCGTCTCACTAGGTTTTTTGTGATTAATAAAAACCAAAAGTGGTAATTGGTATTGGCGAAGATAATCAATAATTTCGGCGGTTTGGGGCATTATCCCGTCCCTAGCGTCAATTACTAAGACCACTAGATCAGTCAAAGAAATGCCTCGTTGCCGCATTTTAATAAAATCACTATGTCCGGGGGTGTCTAAGAAAGTAATTTTTTGACCTTGAAATTCTGCTTGGGAAACTGAAACTTTTTGAGTTATTCCTCCGGCCTCTTTTTTTTGGACTTGGCTCTGGCGAATAGTGTCTAATAAAGTGGTTTTGCCGTGGTCGATGTGACCCATAATGCTAACCAGGGGCGGACGGGCGACTAATTGCTCTTTTGGTGGATTTTTTTTCACATACTCTTGAATAATCTCGCTAAAATTTATCCCACTTTTTTTTTTTATTGCTATTCTAATGCTTTGACAGTAGTCAGTCAGTAAGTCCCAGGATAATGTTTGATTTCGAGCGACACTTTGTCCTTTTGCTCAAAAAAAAGCAATAATTTCCCCCACTGGTCGGCCAATAATTTCCCCCAACTCCGTGGCAGTTATATTTTCAACTAAATAAAGCGTATTATTTTTAAACTCGTTAGGTGCTTTCGAACTATTTTGGCGAATTATTTCCAAAAGCAAATTATTGCTCTCATTTTTTTTCATATTAAGGGAGATTTTAGTATTCAACAAAAAATTTTTTTAGTAGATTATGGACCTTTATTTTTCAATTTCTTCCATTATTTGCACGTTAACATTTTTATAATTACCAATTTCTTGCAATACTTGACCTTTATTTTGTAAAACTTCATCTTTTTCAACCTCTTCCAAGATTCGGACATGAATATTTATCCCTAAGTAATTGCTAATTTTTTTTAACATTTTCCCCTCATGTTGCAAAAGAAGAGCGGCTTTTTGTTGAGGCACAACGACTTCTCAATCTTTTTCGTGCTTGATAATTAATTTAATGATTTTAACTGGGGAGAGCAATTTAGAAAGTAATTTTTTTTTATCTTCGGTTCAGTCTACAAAGTATATTTGCTCAGAATAAATTAGGCGGGAAACCGACCTGGCCCTTTCACCCCGTTCGCCAATGCAAGTTCCGGCTGGCTCAATATCCAATCCTTTTTCAATTGCTACTTTACCTTTTTCGACCACCACTTTACTCATTAACCCTGGCAAACGCAAAACATCCCGAATAGCAATAATTCCGTTTTTTATTTGCGGAATTTCTTGCTCTAATAATTTACGGACAAATAAATCATCCGAGCGGGTCAAAATGATTTGTGGTGCATCCTCGGTTGACTTTTCTCTTACTTCCTTGATGAGGAGATGGAAACGTTGGCCTAACCTTGGTTCCTCTCGCAGGGTTCATTCGGATTTTGCCCAATGACCGGTGATTCCCTGACCTAAGTCAACTGAATAATATTCTTTTCTTTGAATGCTTCTGATACTACCTTTGATCATTTCGCCTTGTTGTGGTTTGTATAAATCATATTGTCTTTTTCAACTGATTTTTTCTACCCCTTTGAGTAAGTATTTTTTAAACTCTTGATCGAGGGAAAGAGGCAAGTTTTTGATATCAATGGGAAGCAGAAAATTATCGTTTTCTATTTTTCCTTCCTTTATTAATTTATTATCTTTAGTTATTTCTTTTTCTGGCTCCTTAATAGTTTCTACTATCTTATAGAGGCGATAAACTGATAATCCGGAGTTAAATTCAAAGTGTAATTCGGCTCCGACATTTTCTCCTTGGCAATAGGAGGCACGGAAAGAGTCAATAATTATTTCTTTTATTTTTTCTTCGGAGACCTCTTTGCTGTTGGCTAACTGTTTGATAAATTGCTGAGTATTATTATTTTCGGTCAAAATCTTAAAATGTATTAATAAATATATATAGTATAATTTTATAGATAAATGAAAGGCATTGGCTATTACCTTAATATGATAAAAGAGTGAATGAAGGAGGGGTGGGACTTTTTATTTAATAAAACTGAAAAAATCCAGGCTCACCATTTAGTTGCTCTCTTGTTAACTATTGCGGTAATTTATCTTCTTTCTTATGTGGTTGCCAAGATTTTTAAAACCATGGTAAAGTTAATTGTCTTGGCAGCCTTGCTTTGATTATTATATATGCTTTTATTTGATAGGAGTAAGTATAATGAATTGTTTGGAAAAGAAACGAGTGATAGCGGTAGCAATAATTAATGGCAGACGATAAACTAGAAAGGTCGACGATTAGGATTTTTTTGGTCAGCCTTTTTTCTTTCTTCGGCAATCGGAAATTCAAAATCCTTTGTTTCTATGTTTCAGAAATCATTTTGGTCAACTGCTCCCGGATTATTTTTGAACTTGTTTACTAGGCAGCGAGTAAAGGCAATGGTGAAAACTCCACAATCGCTACCATTGCTCTGTTGAGGACAAGAGGCGGGTTTAATAATATTCGCACTTCCGCCGATTTCTAAATATTTCAAAAAGTTATTAGCGAGATTTGTTGCAGCGGTGAGATTCATGCTTCCAGCAGAGTCATAATAATGAAACTCATTTGCTCTTCTGTAAACCAAAAGCGACCAATGGCTTCCTGTTCCTCCCTCATATCCTCCCGTGCTAGAATTATTAACCGGTAGGAAAATGATCTCTTTACTTTTATATTCGTTAGTAGTTGCTCGGTGTGCTTGTTTATCAGCATCACTCATTGAATTTATATCTCCTACCGCATTTTGAATAATTTGTGTGATAGAGGGGGTAAGCAGTAATATTTCATTTACATTCTTCTCTATTTCTTCGTAGGCATTTTCTATATCTTCGGTATGTAATCATGGGTCAGTACCTTGCGGAGGAGTGGATGGAGTTTTACCGATTAGTTTCTCAACAATTTTCAGAACCTTTTTTTCCCGAGTTTCTAATTCGTCAGGAGTAGTTGCCCCATTAAGATATTCCTTTCAGTTAGTTTCACTAGCATTTAGGACATTCTCATTTTTTAATTCTTGTAATAAATCATCGACTCTAATATTATCAGCACTTAGTTTTTGTTCGAGGGAAGCGATTGTTTCAGTTTTAGTTTTTGTTAAATTTGGCTTATCATTCGGAAGATTATTTTTCTTAGGAATATGCGGAGAAGGTTTTTTTTGACTTTTAACAATCAAAACAGTGGATATTATCACGGTGAGTGCCAAAAAAAATAATAGGGCAGAAACCAAAATTATTTTTTTTTGTCGATGGATTAATTTCATATTATTTTATAATATGTATAATGTTTATTATCTTACTTGCCAGGAAAATGGATACTATATAAATTGTTTATTTCCTTAACTGTTTCTTGATTTATATTATCTCTGACGAATTGACTTTCTTCGGTAGTTATTTTGTCCTCTCGAAAATTGTCTTTACCATTAAAGGATTTAGTTTTTTTGTATTCTTCTAACGGTAAACTACATGCTTTTAAAATTTTTTTTAGGCGGTAGATTTGGTCGACTTTTGCTTTTTCGGTGTTTTTTTGGTTTATTTTACCACTCAACAAACGAACTTTTTTGCTAAATTCTTTAAAATTATCGGCATAGTCATATGGATCGCCTTTTTCTTCGATGTCCATGGCTCAGGTAAACCGAACATTTTTCCTTAGTGGATGGAAAGGACTATCCCTTTTTGGTCATCATTGAGAAATAAGTTCTTCCTCTTTTTCCAAGTATTCAACATCATCGCCAATCTCATAATCTTTTCCTGGGGTTCCTTTTTTGGGAAATCCAGCCGTTTTTAATTTTTGTCTTTCTTCGGTAATTGAGAAAATTAGGTCTTTTTCCCTCAATTCTGTGTCTGCTAAACCCTCAATTGCTTCTCCCTTTTCTCTAATTTTTTTCACCAAAGCCCGCGTAAAAGCAATTATATAAACTCCACAGTCCGCATTATTGGCTTGTCGGGGAGTTTCTTTTACATTTTCGACATGAAGCAAAGTTAGCAAGTTTGCTTTTTCATGAAAATTTGTTGCCACCTTCATAGCGTTTTCCGGCGTAACAGAGAATTCCAGAGAATTATAATTTAAAAATACTCCTAACTCGCCACCCGCAAAAACCAACAAAGTCCAATGGCTTCCAGCATCTCCCGTCTCATGATTTTCTGAATTATTGATGGGAAAGAAAATGTATTTCGCTTTTTTCAAATCCTCACTAATTTCACCTCCTTCTTGGATAACCCGTGTTACACTGGGGCTAACTAATTGGATTTCTGGTGAATTACTAATTTCCTGGTAAGCAAACTCAATTTCTTCGTCAGTTAACCATCAATTTTCGGTATCAGTTGGCGGAATTGGTTCAGGATTATCTGGGGGATTATCATTATTCGGCTTAGGAGTTTTTTGTTTAGGATTATTTTCTGATTTTTCATTCCTTCTCTTTTCTATTTCATGATTAATAAACACAACTGTCCCTAAGAATAATATTATTAAAATAACTCAGAAAAGCACCTTTTTTAAAAAATTTGACATGGTTTTTTATTTTTGACTAAATAACAAAATTAATTAGTTTGTTCCTTATAAAAATAATTTTAGTAATCTTTTGTTCTGACAATATTTTGCTTATTTTGGGGTCATTTTTGGCTAATTCCTCTACTTCTTGCTGGCTGGTATCTTTATTTGCTAAAATTACTGTTTTTTTTTGGCCGTTAACTTGCACCACAATATTTATTTGTAAAGGAGAAAAAGTTGGTGAATTTTTTATTTGCGGCCAACTGCTTTCACTGATAGATTTTTTTTCAAAATAACTTCACATTTCCTCACTAAGATGGGGAGCCAGCGGATTTAGCAATTTAAGAAAATTCAAAAAACATTCAGTCGGCATGACCTTTGTCTTAGCCTGATAACACTTATTAATAAATTCCATGAGAGAAGAAACCACCAAATTCAGTTTAACATTTTCGTAGTAAATATTTACTTTTATCACCATTTCATTATAAGCCCTTTCGATTTCCTCATTTCGAATGTTGGTAAGGGCGGCTTCGCGGTGGAGGACAAAAAAACTATAGACTCGGTCTAATCATTTTTTCATGGCTCGCACTCCATTAATATCAAAACTAGTAGTCTGTTCGGGTGGACCTAAAAATATTTCGTAAAGTCGTAGAGCATCGGCTCCATATTTTTCCACCAGTTCGTTAGGGTTAATGATATTGCCCCGTGATTTTGACATTTTTTCTCCATCGGCTCCTAAAATCATGCCTTGACAAATAAATTTTTGAAATGGTTCGGGCTGCGAAACTATACCAATTTTGTATAAAATTTTATGTCAAAATCGAGCATAAAGTAAATGTAAATTAGCGTGTTCTTGTCCGCCAATGTAAATATCTACTGGCAACCAGTTTTTTATTATTTCTTGGGCTTCTTGGCTGTTGGGTGGTAAATAATCATTGTTTTTCCATAATAAAAAAGCAATATAATATCAGCATGAGCCCGCCCACTGGGGCATTATATTAATGTCTCTTTTTCCTTTTAAGCCTTTTTCACCTTCCACATTCACTCAATTTTCGGCTTTCTGCAAAGGAGAATAATAATTAGGATTAGGGGCAAAATCGGTCAAGGGAGGGAGAGTTAAGGGTAAATCTTTTTCGGGCAAAAGTTCTTTTTGGTTATTTTCTCAATGAATAACTGGAATAGGTTCGCCTCAATATCTTTGTCGAGAAAAAACTCAATCTTTTAGATGATAGAATTCTCCCTTTTTTCCTTTTTTTTCTTTTTCTAAATGCTTATTAATGATTTCAATCGCCTGATTTTTACTGGTTAAGCCATTAATTAGGGGAGAATTAATAAATTCACCGCTTACATTTTTTTCTTGACTTCTTATCTGAAAAATTTTCTTGATTGGTAGATTATATTTTTGGGCAAAGGTATAGTCAATTCGTTGGTTCTGTTTTAATTCTTTTTCACTGACTAAATTAGGGATTTCCGAATACGCAAATATTTCCGGGGAAAAAGCATTAATCATTACTGCCCCCGTCCCGTATTCGGCCACCACAAAATTGACTACTCAAACTGGTAATTTTTCACCAGTTAAAGGATGATAACAATAACTTCCCGTAAATTCTGCCGCGATTTCTTTATTTTCTTTATCTTTTCAAGTCGAGCAAAATTCATTTACTTTTGTTTGTCTATCAGTAGAAGTAATTTGCAGCAAAAGCGGGTGATTGATAGATAAAGCAAGGGCAGTCACTCCATAAAGGGTTTGTGGGCTTTTAGTAAAAATATTAATGGTTAGTTTCTTATCCACTACTGGGAAATTAATAAAAGTTCCTTGGTTTAGTCCAATTCAATTTTTTTGTAAACTCTTAATGCTGTTAGGTCAGTCTAATTTTTCTAGCCCAGCCAAAAGTTCAGGAGCATACTGAGTAATTTTTAAAACTCATTGGGGGATTTTTTTTTCTCTTACCGGGTAATTTCCGCGCTCGGAAACTTTTTTGCCGTCAACATTTTTGATTTCCTCATTGGCAAGCACGGTTCCTAACTTTTCACATCAATAGACTGGTATTTCTTTATATTCGGCTAATCCTTGTAAATATATTTGGCAGAAAATCCATTGGGTTCAGTGATAATAAGCAGGTTCGCTGGTATTTATTTCTTTGCTTCAATCATAGGAAAATCCAATGCTTAATAATTGCTGCTTAAAATTTTCAATATTTTTTTGGGTAAAAGTAGCGGGGTGATTATTAGTTTGGATAGCGTATTGCTCGGCCGGCAAACCAAAGGCATCCCAACCAATTGGCAAAAGAACATTATAACCACGGAACCGATAGAAACGAGCCAAAGAATCAGCAATAGTATAATTACGAATGTGACCGACATGTAAGCCGCTCCCTGAGGGATAAGGAAACATGGCTAAAATATACTTTTTTGGTTTAGATTTGTCTGCTAAATTAGTAAAAAAAGTCCTATTTTTGGCTCAATATTCTTGTCATTTTTTTTCAATTTCCTGGTGTGAATAACCCATATTAATAAATTATTACTTTTTAGTAAAAATAGATGAAGTTGTTAAGGAATTAATTATTTTTCCTTCCTAGCGAAAAACTTACCGAAGGCTCGGTAGTTAAACTAGGGGCTTTTAGTTCACTAGTTCATTTAATTTCTTGAATAATATAGCCAAGGTTTTGTAAATTGGTTAAAATTTCTGGAGTTAGATTGGCAACTGAGGAAGCATTTTTTTGAAATTTACCTTCGTATTCTTGGTATAATTGATTTTTCTTTTGTTCTATTTCTTCCGGTGTAGGATTATCTGGTTCTTTTCCTCCCGCCCTTTCCTCTATTACTTTTGCTTCTCCTTTTTTTGCTGCGTCAGGGGCACATTTAGAGCATCACCACGGTTTCGAACATGCGAATATTGAATAACCATCTTCAAATGGTTGACGGCAAACTTCACAAATCATTTTGTCATTTTCTTCAACCTCTTCCTCGTTCAATATTTTTCCATCAGAACAAGCAGTAAATTTTCTTAACTTTTTACCTTGATTCGGAATCCTCTGCTCGGAGAGAATCATAATTTTTTCTTGATATTCTTTTTGGAGACTTAAAACGCTACTAGTTGCCTCTTGAAAATTAGGATTTTTTGAATAGGAAGCGGTTAATTTTTCTCAAAAATCTTGGTTATCTCCTTTTTCCCTAATGCTTAATTCGGCAATTAAACTTAAAAGTTGTTCGGAAGTGATGGAAGTTTCCTTTTGTGGTTCTTTATTAGGAGGTCCGCGGGGTTCTTTGTCCTTTTCTGGGTTTTTCTCCGGAATTTCACTTTTTCCGCAAACATGAACTATTTTTCTATTGGGTTCTTTTAATATTTCTTGTAAGGCGATTTCTATTTGGTTGGTAGAACAAGTGAAATGAATTTGTTTGACTTTTTCTTTAAAGAGAGGAGAAAAATCTACATTTTCATAAGCATCCCACTGTGGATACTTGTGGCGAACTTTTTTGCCATCCTTGTTCGTTCTTCATTCATTATTTTTATTTTCCTCCGAAAGAATAAAAATGTCTATTGGCTTTCTTTTTTTAACATTGTATTCAAGTTTACGATTTAGTCCCCCAATTGCCCCTGTTTTTGTTCCATAAACAGTTCCGGTGGAACCCAAATTTCTTGGTAAAGGAATTCTATTAATTAAACTATGAAGCGTTAAGTAAAAGGCTATTCCCGCTGAGTCTCCTCTTGCTGAGGTTAATTCCCTAACCAAAACATAAGCATCATTATTATTTTTCCCTTTTTCATTCAGAAAGTTGCGAATAATTTGCTTGTAGTAATCTTTGTATTCACCAAGGTCTATTGCGAAGTTAACATTTGCTTTCTGATTATTATTTGGCTTCAAAAAAATTATCAAATCACAAGAGCCACCAATTCTATTTGGCTCGTTTCCTGAGGTATATAAAATATTCGTGGCACCAATTCGTTTTTCAGCAGTTAAATCCGGTATTTCTTGGTCGGGAGTGAGTAAATTTCATTCTTTTAATTTTTCAATATCTCGGTCAACATAACCCTTATTACGCAACTCTGATTTTCTACTAATTTTTTCTAGTAACTCCTCCTCACGAATTTTTTGGTATCAAGCAATTAATTCCTCAATTCTTTTCAATTCTTGAAGGTGTCTTAAATATTCTTCTAACTGTCGGTTGTACTCTTTTTGCTGCCATTTCAGTCAATTTTCAACATCCCGGCGAAACTTTTCCCTCGCATGCTCTAAAATTGATTTATTTAAATCACTTAAATATTCCTCAATTCACGGTCTTAATTCTCACCAAATTCTTTCAATGACCTCTGGCGGAAGTGTTCCACTAATACCACCAACAGGCGACTGATTGGGGTTAAAGGCACTGATTAAAAATTCTTCTTCAATTTCTTGAATAGTTTTAGTGTCTCCACCTGGCTTTTTAGTTAACTGATTAAGATTGTTAGCATTACCTAAGAGATTACTCGCTAATTGTAAGACCGCACTTTGGGTTTGTTGGTTCTGTTGCTCGCCTAAATTATTTTCCTGACTTGGATCCGGTTTATTCTCTTTCTTTCCAGAGAAGAAAATAACGCTAATTATTATAAAGACTACTAATAAAGCAACTGCTCCAAAGATAAATATTAAATTACTGTTTTTTTTTTTTTTTTTTGCTTTCATGCTCCATTTCCATATAAGTTATATTTTATAATTTTAGCCGTTTTTCGCCACAATGATTTATAAAAAAAATTATAGAGAATTGTGCAAAAAAGTTTAATATTTTTAGAATCGGCAACCAAAAAAAAAACTATTCAGTCCTTTTTAGGCCAAGAATATGTAATATTTGCCACCGGCGGACACTTATGAGAGTTAAGAAAATCCGGGGTATATAATTTAGGGGTAGATTTAAAAAATTTTACTCCTTCTTATGACATAATTGCGGAAAAGAAAGGTTTGATTAAGGTTTGAAGAAATTATTTGGTTAAAGAAAAAATTTCGGTAATTTACTTGGCGACTGACCCCGACCGGGAGGGGGAAGCGATCGCCCAAGAAACCGCTAAATCATTAGGAGTAGACCCTTTAAAATGCCAGCGTCTTCTTTTTTATGAGATAACCCCGCGTAGTATTAAAGAAGCCTTAAATAACCCCTTGACGATTAATCAAAATTTGGTGGAGTCGCAACTTTCCCGGCAAGTGCTGGATCGCATGATTGGCTTTTGCCTTAGCACCATGCTACAAAAAAAATTACAGGCCTTATCGGCCGGTCGGGTTCAATCAGTAGTTTTGAAATTGATTATTGAGCGAGAAGAATTGATTAAACAATTTGAAAAGAAAAAACTTTATATCCTTTGTGGGATTTGTCAGGTGAA